ACCCTAACCGTAACCCTAATTTAAGATTTCCACAGAAGAAGAAGGAGAAAAATTGGCCCGGAGTCTATGCCAGCACTCTGCGCTGTCAAATATATTTGCTACTCTTTTTAAAATGTTTTAGGCCTTGAAGACCGTGATTTCTGCTGGACCATGATAATTGACACAAATAGCACTAACAGTTCCATAAGCTGATCTTGTAACAGCTTAAGCAACGGTCACTTTCCACTTAGGTTTTCATCTAAGCCCATGTTTGATTTAGATAAAAATCAGACTTTTCGTAGATTTATAAATTTTAATAAAAGAAGTGGTTGGAAATTTGTGAACTTCATGAAATATGTGATTAAAATTCGATTGTTAACTTTTAATGGGTTTTCATCTAAGTTGATTTTGTAACAGCTTAAGAAAACGGCCACTTTCCATTTAAGTTTTCATTTAAGCCCCTGTTTGATTTAGATAAAAATCGGACTTTTAATACATTTTGATAAAAGTTAATAGAATATATTAACGTCAAAAATTGTATGTACAAAATTCAAGTCAACTTCAAAGAGGAATACGACTGTTATTAATTGTTAATGCGAAGTTACAAATAATTCAACTACTCCTTTCTATGTTTATAGGAGATTTTTGAAATATGGATAAATAATGTAAGAAGATTTGTAATGCATCAAAGTCGTCCCCCCCTTCTTTTCCACTATTTTCCCCTTTTATAGGAGAAAATATCAGCGTTCTAAAAGGCGGCAAAATGTGCCGCCTAGGCGTGCCTACGCGCGAAGCGTGGTCAAAACGCGTCGCATTCGGTATATGTGTGTAAACATGCGGTCAACGCCTACGTTAACCACTAAAACGCGCGCAAAGGCGCGATAATACGTACAGAGGCACGCATTTTTTTAGTTTTTTTAGTTTTTTTTTAAATTTACCATTTACTAATATTATATAATATAAATATAAATTATAAACACTCCAACTTCCAACCCACCAATTGACAGGCCCATGAAGCTTATGAAAATGAAGAATCCGTTGGCCTATTTATTTATAGGCAAAAGTTCTTGGCCTTGATCTATAGGATTCCGATGTGGGATAACTTTGCTCTGTTACTGTGCAAGCAAGCATTGAACTTGAAAGATGCTTCTTGGGTTTCCACTTTCCACCCTCCTCTTCTTTTTCTTCCCGACGGCAATGGCACCCTCGTGTTACTGTGATTGGCTCGGCAGCAATGGGGGTGGCGAGAGCGGTGGTTGGAGCTCCATTGCTTCTCTCTCCTCTCTACAAGAGAAACGGAGAGATTAGAGATTTGGGGAAATTCTCTCAGGTCTTCGGGTGGGGAAGATGAACGGTTTGGGTGGATCTTGTAATTAGGGTTTGGTTGTTTGTATTTGATCTGTTTTTGAATTGTTAATTGGGTTTGGCGGAATGGTTGTGGTTTGTGAATTGTTTGGTGGATCTTGTTTGAATTGTTTTTAAATCTTGTTAATTGGTTTGTGAATCGTTAATTGGGGTTTGGTGAAATCATTGGTTGTTTGTATTTGATCTTGTTTGATTGTGGTTTGTGAATTGTTAATTGGGGTTTGTGAATTATTAATGGCAGTGTTGGGTGAACCCATTACGAGCACCACCATACCCCCCCTGAATGTTATTGCCTTTAGAAAACGATCCATCAGTACAAATTATCAACAATGGACGACTGTCAGCAAACTTGTCTCCAGATTCCTTCGATGCTGTTGGGTTGGGTAATGCTTGCATAAATGAAACAGGACATCATGTCTGGAAACCAATTTGTAAACATTATCTGCTTCTTCAAATCCTGACTGTCAGCATACTTGTCTCCAGATTCCTTCGTTGCTGTTGGGTTGGGTAATGCTTGCATAAATGAAACAGGACATCATGTCTGGAAACCTATTTGTAATCATTATCTGCTTCTTCAAATCCCAAACCTGGAAGCCATAATTGTAGCCGAGCAAGAGAACTTTCTCTGTGATGCCTCCCTCAAGTTCTAAAATCCTAGTTTCCATCTACAGAATCTTGATTTGCAATTGGAGTTCTTGGCTTACTATCTGGGCTCCAGTTAGGGAAGACGGCTTGTTCAGTGTGAGCTCTAACCCCAGTTGGGTTGGGTCTGTGTGTTTGGGGATATGTTGTGGATAAATGGGCTTTGATTTTCTTATATGGGCTTAGAGAATAGAAGATATATAATATGTGGGTTGATATAATTTTTTTTGATTGATTAAAAATACGAAACACATTATGGCGCTTATTTTTCGTATTGACACTCCTAAACTTGTGATTCTTGATTCTCGGTATCGACGCATCGCAACGCATTACGCGTTTTAGAACATTAGAAAATATACATGCTTCATTAATTTCCTGTCTTATCACCAGCAATTCCGAGCTGAAGAAGTACACATGTTGGAATGATTTCATTGGCCTCCGAGCTCGATCTAGCAGCCATGATAAGTAAATCTTACAGGTGTGCCTTAGCAATTAATGAAGTGAGCTTTGGGAAACGAGCCTAACTATCTGATCAGAGCTTGTGCAAGCACTGATGCAAAATCATTCCCATGTGGATTCCTCTGATTGGCTAGTTTGTTGATTGTGTCAGTGATCTGCAATTATTAGAATCCCCTTGAAAGACTACACAATCTTTCTAGATATACTAACCATCCGAGTCGACCTCATACCACCGAGCTCGCATTGCCACGTACTCATCACGTGTTTTAATCCGATTTGTCCGACCTTAGAGCTCAGCTCACCAGCTCAGTTCATTAATAATTGGCATGATTGAATTGGTTTAATGAGCCCGACTTGTCGGTCATCATGAGTTTAACTTTACAGATGGTCTCAAGTGATTAATGAATTACTTAGGAGAGGGAGCTAATACATATGATTGGTGGAGTTAGGAGGTGCTGTCATGAGCCTATCCAAATGTAATTGATTGATTGGACGTTTGACTGTGTGTAAGAAATCTTCAATCATTATGTCTCCTCGAGCCCCAAGCTGACCTCACATATCCGAACTCATATTAGTATGAGCTTAATGCATGTAGCCAGCTGTATTTAATGGGGTCGCCTGTAAGGTCAGATTACCACCAGGTTGAAGCTCCCTGGTGAGGTCGGGTTACCACCAGGTCGAAGCTCCCTGGTGAGGTCGGATTACCCCCAGGCCGGTGCTCCCTGGTGAGGTCGGATATCAACAGAATATGTGAAAATTTGTGAGTTTCATGAAATATATAATTAAAATTCAATTGTTGACTTGAATTTAATTTAATTTTTAATCACTGAATAGAGGCTAAAATGATTGGTAAGCTTAAATGCGTTTGAAAAGAAAAGAAAATACTTTGATAAAAGTCAATAAAATATAATTGACTTTGAAATGTATTATTAAAATTCAATTGTTGACTTTTATTTAAATTTTAATTTACTTCTTTTTAACTAACTAAATGGAGACTAGACTAAAATGATTGGTAAGCTTAAATAATATCTCAAGCTATAAATGCCGAGAAAATTTTTCCTTCTCGTACTATCATTGTAGTGGTGCCGCTTCATGTTGGTAACGAAAGTGGTAAACTTTCATGGTTATTTAGAATATTCAAAATAAATCAAAACTCGATCTCAATCGAAAATGTGAACTTTTAGTCAACAATGTGTATAACTTTAGTGCGTGTTTGACGTTCTTTAATTTATTTTATGATTTGCTACATAACTATTTTCAATCACGTATGCACATAATAAAATATTCTACACGTATACCAAAAAAAATTCATAATTTTTAACCACATATTCTCCTAAAAATCACTATTCAAAAATCTTTTTTTTGTCAAAACGATTGTCAAACAGACTCTTAAACTTTTGTTTTGGTCTCCATTTCTTAAAATTTATTTTTTTAAAACTTATTTTGAACCACACATTTGACATGACTATCAACTTTTATTAACTTTTCGGTCACATACATTCTTTCAAAATATATTTTTTCAAAACTTAATTTCAACCACACATTTTTCAATAAAATAATATTTTATATCACATCAATAACTTTTCTTTACTTTTTAACCATATATTTCTCATCATATTACTATTTTAAATACATTCGTTTCTCAATAATATCCATCAAACACACATAAATAGATGAAAACTGATTTTTTTTAATGTAGCCATACTAGTTGGCCCAATTGAAAACGAGGTCGAACACGATTCAGTTGTAACAAGTGGGCCAAGAAACACACTAGGACTATGATATTTTTTTTAAGGTAACTAGGAATATGATCATGGTAGAATTGTTTGTTCTCAAATAATACTGCTATTATTGTTTCTCATATTCTACACTTTGATGCTTCATGGCATTTCCAATGGAGGAATTTTTCAATATTTACAATGAAAATGGATTTGTTTTGTAATTTTTAGTGGTGGGACATTGGTGAAAAGAAAAGAGAATGGGAAGATAGTTTAAAGTTTTTTTAAAATTAAAAATAATAAAGAAGTATTTCTCTAAATTGCAATATGCAATTGAAATTGAATAATATGGTGGGTGTTGACATTTGAAATGGCATTATTTGGAAAGCGGACAAAAGCATCAAAGTCATTGTCCCAACATGAATCTATTATAAGTTTTGGAATGACGAGAATGAAGATAATGTAGGACAGCACAAGTTTTCCCATACAATTTCCTACCCCTTTAACTACTCTAAACTCCATCAAATATCCTTTTCCCATTCATCCCCCTTTCACCAATAACCTACAAATCAATAATTTCATTCAACAACCCCCACCCCAACCCCACACCCAATATGGCATGATAATTAGGCCCTGTTTGGCCCCAATTTATAAAATTCATTTTTTTCAACGACATATTCTCATTCTATACCTTCACTTAAAAGAATGAATCCTGCATTTACTGTTCATTTTTGTCCACTCGTTTTCACTCTAATCCGTATTGAAATTGGTTATCTACTTTCTTAATCTACTTTTCCATTCAATTTTTTACCTATCTTCCATTCCCAGAAAGAAACCTTATGGACCGGATTTTCCACTCTCTTCCCCCTTTCCTATCCCTTTTTCTTTCCCAAATTTCACTCCCCAACACCCTTTAATTCCTCCTACACCGCTAAAAACCCTTTCATTAATTTCACCTCTCCGAGAATGAGGTGGCTGTACAAACTCAGTTTTGGTGTTCGAAACTCCACTGACTGCCTTGTGGATTTCTCTTCCAATTATTCCATAGCACAGGGACTTGAGGATGACATACTCGCTCCGGGTCAGCAGCTCACGCAATTCGGGGCTGGTTGTTTTTGGGGAGTTGAATTGACCTTCCAGATTACCATAACCAGTTAATGTTTTCACCACGGCTAACATTCTTATTTTTAATTGTTTTTAGGTGATGAACTTTTCTCAAACTCATTTCCGTACAATGAAATCGAAAATGGGATTCTTTGGGAAGTTGGGGAAACATAAAGACCTCATTTAGTTATTTGGTTCATCGTTATGTTCATTGACTTGGTAAACATTTATCAATTTGCTTTATTTTCTAATTGCTTGTTTGTTTGGATTATCCTAGGAAATATTGGATACTTGTATTAATTAAATGATAAAATATAATCCAAGAACCAGATTTACATTTGTATTTGATTTTATATAATACTTTATCATCTTACCTACTCTGAAGGAACCAAGTGAATGTGCATTCCCTACCTTATCCTATTCCCATGGGACCAAATCAACTATAATTGTAAGCGAAATCCGTGCATATTATGAAGGGACGTCACATTATCTCTGCTTTTTTTAGGTAGAGGTGTTAATTGGAATCCCACAATTTATTTCTAATATTTACTAAATCATAAATAGAGGAAATATTAAAAAGCTGCCCAATTCAGTTACTGGCATGACTCATTGTTGGAAAAATTGGTGTATAATTTATATTCGATACTTAACCTTTTATGCGCAAATGCCATATAGAGTTACGAGTTACCGAAATTATGGTACACGCATTATAATAAGCAAATCACAACTTACTAGATCGTAGAAAATACAGAAGGAGATTAAATTAAGTGAGATATGGAAATGCTTTTATGCTTGGAGATTTTCCCGATATATAATTTTTATGTGTACACCTCCACTCTTGTAGAAACACACGGATACTTTTGTATCACATTAAAAATTAGGTTTGGACGTTGGGTGGGCCAATCCTAGTATTTGAATACCTAAAATTATTTATTACATTTTGGTATTTCGTAAATGAATCATTAGGATCCACATAATCATTGGAACCAAATTTGAATCCAAACCATTGGTTCTACCCATAATATTAAAAAAAAAATAAAATTGTGAGCTAACAATATGAATTATTTAGGCATAAAATCAGAATTTTTGTAGGCATGTAAAATAATAATCAAAAGAATTGTAAACGAGTGTAGAGACTTGACATGTAACGACATAATTGATAGGTGTGATGTCTACACCTATTCGAACTATCAAATGGAAATGCTTGAAAGTCAACTTGATGGAGTTACTACTTAATTTGGTTAAATATCGATTGTCATAGGATAAACTTGAATTTGGATGGTTATTGATAAAAAGAAGTGAAAATCGGGCAAAGAATGGTGAAAATTGAAGTATTGTAAAGTTTGGGAACTAAATTATAAATATTTAGAAGTTGATTAGGATCAAGAATGGAGATTAAATTGAATGAAACTGAAATTACAAGACTTAAAAATACACAAGAGGATCCAAGATAACGAGAAGAAAAATTAAGGACCAAGTATATAAAATGAGGAAGTTGTGCCTTGCGATGTTTGGTGGACTACAGGGGCGGACCCAATGGGGGTCCTGAGGGGTCACGTGACCCCCCCAATTTTTGAGCATTCTTTTTTATAAAGTCATGTTTGATATGATTGAAATCTAAATTTAAATTTAAATCAAAATAAAAAAATTAATTTTAATAACACATTTCATTGAATCCATAACTGTTTAATTTTTATCAAAATTTACTAAAAATTTGATTTTAATCTTCACCAAATAGAGGCAAAATCACAATAAATTTGATTTTTTTTCTCTTACTCTTTTTACTCTTTTCTTTACGTCTTTTAACAAGATCTTAATTTTTAACCATTTAACGAATTGTGTTTATTTGATTGATTATTAGTATTGAATATTAGTTATATGTTTTTTTCTTTCGATTACTTGAATTGATTATTTGTATCAAATACATTATAAGATTTTTAAACGTAAATATGCATTTTCTTGTGATAACAAAATATTAATAAAATGACTCTTAGAAATCAAATGGATGAAAATGATTAGCAAAATATTTATGAAGAAATGCTTTTTTAAATGTAAATCTACATTGTTTCAAGTCAATTCCAAAATCAAGAACAAAGTATTTGATTTATATAAAGTTTGATTGTGACCCCCTAACCTAAAATGTTTGCGTCTGCCCCAGGTGGATTGGGTGAGCAAAAGTGGATGTTTGTGCAATCACATGTTGTCCTAACTTGCGATTGCACGTGGTTACGAGATAGGAAAAAGCACGTTTCATTCTTTAACTAAAATTCTTCGATTTTATCACGTTTTAAACTTACTTTACAGGCATAATTTCATACTACCAAGTTTAAGATGAAAACAAGAGGCAAGCAACGAAAATTCACCATTCCAATTCATATTTTGAAGACTATCTTTTGGATTTTGGGCAAAAAAGGAGGTACGAAAGGAATTTGTCAAGAAAAATTGAAGAGATTCAACGAATCAATTTATCATTTTTTCTTCCTATATCAAGAATTCGGACGATGTCTCATATTTCAAACATGAATTCTTGTATTTTTATAATGATCGGCTAAAATGTAATTACTATGATATGGATGAAACACTTATCATGAAAATTTAATATAAATTTCAGGACTTTGATATTTGTTTATTTTGGATAATTGTTATGGACATCTTTCAATTAATTAGCTACTAATTGAATTATTTTGTGATTGTTACTTCATCCGAGAGAAATAATATATAACGTATTATAACAATTATTGTAGGGTCGGATAGGGATAGAGATATGTCGTTATACTTTACATAATTTATTTTGAATATTCTTTTGTTGCATCTTTCATAGAAATATAAGAGCGTCACGTGTGATTATACGTTTAATTCTACATGAGAATGATTATTGAACAAAGAATGAACATTGATCAGTAAGATTAAACAAGTGTTGTCACGATCTTTTGTTGTGTTAAAATAGATTGATAAAGAATTCAAAATTTTAGTGCTTGCTTATAATCATCTTACAAAAGTTTTTTAGTTGCTTGTTAGAGTAGTTTATGTAATTAGTTATAATTATAGTAGTTTATGTAATTAGTTACAAAAATCACTCAAGTACATCTTGACTATTTGATTAGAATCATTATTAATTATTACTAGATTAAATAATTAGTACTTGAGAGAATGATATTTTATCCACTACTGCGTTATTTGGCTACGATTTCGTAAACTTGCGGGATATTAATAATATACGAAAGAAGCGTAAGCAAAAGCCACGTGAGTGTTACATTGAACTGTCATTACCTACCTAGTTTGTTGACGAATATTTGGAAAAGTTATCACGCCGAAATCAAGATAAAGGACATATTAGGGCAATACAACTCTTGAATGCCCCTCGTTACCTACAACTATTCATTTGCATTTTTAGAAAATATTTATTTTACTTAAATCTAATTTTCTAGATAATGATTTATACTACTTAGCTCCTATTTGCTACAAATTCTTTAAAAATTATTTATTTCTAAATTTATTTGTAGTTGCACGTTTTCTCAATAAAATAATTGTGCACGTGGGCTCGTGATTTTTCCTACTTTTTAATCACTCATCTATTACAAAAAATCATTTTTTATAAAATTTATTTTAAGAAAATGTACATCAAACATGCCCTTGTAAACTAATGGAATGCCCTTGATTTATAGGCAAAGTACACTATTGGTTCCCAACTTAATTTCCAGGTGGTGACTTGGTCACTAAATTTTAGAAATGAGCAAGTAACTCCCCAACTTGTTAACAATTACACAATCAGTCATCAACAACAAAAATCATCTAAATCTCCATTTCATCAATAAAAACCTTCTAAACATTTGTTAAACCATTAATTGACTGTAGTCCGTCGCGCTTCTAACTTTATAACTTTGTATTTTGTTTTCCACATTGGGCTAGCATTCTAGAATTGGAAGCTACTCGTGTTTCCACCTCGGGCTAGTATTCAAAAATTAGTGCTTTCTATCGCTAGTTAGTGACTGATTGTAATTTAAACGTAAGGATCAACTTGAACTTTTCTAAAGATTCAGGGGTCAAATGCGAGTCAAGAAATATGTTGGGGACATCGGGGACCAAAGATGCAATATCCCAAAATACACTGGCAACACTAAAGCGGGGAGGAACGTAAATATCAACAAGGCGCCTCCTGGACCGAAAGCGACCGCATCGAATGCAAAGGAAGAAAGTGGCAGACACAAACAAAAACAATACATACACTTTTTTATATATATATATATATAGAGAGAGAGAGAGAGAGAGAGGGGGTGGGGGTGGGGGTGGGGGTGGGATATTATTTTTGGATAAGAGCGTCACATAGATTTGACTCTAATGTATACTTCGCTTTATCTTTATCTCAATTAAAATATTAAAAATAATATCATTACATGTATTTTAGAATTTTTTTAATCAACTTGTATATTACAATCATGCTACACATTTTTTAATTGACATTCTGCTTTACATTAACCTATGCGTCACACAATTTTAACATTAATTTCTGTAATAATTAAAACAATAATGACCTCAATTTTCGGATCTATCAATGTCATCCAAGTCGTACATAAATACGAGTAGGATAATTCTAAAATCAATGCCATTGTGTCGGTCACATTCAACCAAATTATCAAACTTTGATGTACATATTGTAAATGAATAAATTATTTGCACACACAAAGTATATATTTTGATTGACACCTCTCGTATTTGTTAAAAATTTGACAGTCGATTGAAATGAGTATTGTCAAGATGAATACACCAAAATCTATCACTCATATTAGTGTAAACTACTGTGTCAACCTTTGTGCACACTTATGTGCTCATTTTATATATTTTAAAGCGTGTCATCGACTCTCATCCACGTGTCCGTTTATTTTTCTTTCCCTGCATTGAAATTGAAGAAGAAAGAGGAGAAAACAGAAAGAAAGGTTCATCCAAAATTCTCTACTCAGACAGTTCCAAGTCTTCTTTTACGTTTCTAGAGAGAGGAAAATTAAGGGTTTTGATCTAGATTTTTAATTTCTTTCTCTATATGAACAAATTATGAAAATTTGTTTTGATACACAGTGATGAGTGTTTGATTCTCCAAAGAAAATAAATTAATTTTTATTGATCAAAAGAGTAGTTGAGAGATGTACATAGGAGGTGGTGGAGCTTCAAAGAGGAATTCTTTCAAGGATTCTCTCAAAGTTCTTGAAGCAGATATTCAGCACGCGAATACTCTGTATGTGATTTTCTCTCTCTATCTAACCTACTTTTCCTTTTCATTTTTTATTGAGTTTTTTGGAAGGGGTTTTTTATGATTGAAAATTATCTACTTCTATCATATGTTTTGTTCTAATTTTCCAGAATCAGTTATACTTTATCTTGAATTCCTATTTCATTAATATTGTGTTTTGTACTTTACTGACTACTGGATATTAAATTAGTGGAAGTAAACTTAATTAATAATTTCTAGAAAATAATTCCAAGGTCTAGCAGTGCACTTAATTAGGAAGTTTTGCAAATGATGATAGTTATAGAGCACTTTAGTGGTTACTTCAATTTGGGATAAAGGTATCTTTTCTATATTCAACTGGGATTTTAGCTTTTAACTTTATTTTTTATTTCTTTTCTATGGTGCCTTTTTTTTTTGGGCAAATTGATTCACATTACATTTTAGTTGAATTTCCTTGTGGACAGTGAACAGGAAACAATATAAAAAGAAATTTTCACATGAAAATTAACCCGAGTGTGTCAAAATTCAAATGGTTGTTATGGAAATGATGTTACAAAAAAGGAACTTTCTTTTGGAAGAGATTATTATTACTAGAACCGTTGGTTATGTTGTTTGATTTACTAACAGCTTCAACTTTATCTCTGTATTGTTTTATTGGTAATTATTACATTAGCTTGCTATGCATTGAGGTAGTTCGTTGTACAATGAGCTGGCTTGATAATTTTTCTTGAACTTTTCCCATTTTTTGTAAATTGAACCTGTTATTGTCATGGCAGGGCATCGGATTTTCCAAGGGAGTATGATGGTGCATGCCTACAGATGAGAATCTCATACAGTCCAGCAGCTCATTTTTTCCTTTTTCTAGTACAATGGACTGACTGCCACCTTGCTGGAGCTCTTGGACTTTTGCGAGTCCTAATATACAAGGTTGATACTTGTTCCTGTTGATGCTCATTTTCCTGTTTAAGTTTTGCTCTCAATCTTTGCAAGCAATTGAACGTAATGCTTTGTATCACAGGTTTATGTTGATGGCACCACAACTATGTCCATGCATGAGAGAAAAGCAAGCATTAGAGAATTCTATGGTAAGCTCTGCGGTCGTTTACTGATTTTAAAGTCTCGCTGACACCAACCTTAAAACTAGCATTTTCTGTTGCATCTTATATTTTGATATATCTTGTGATCAGCTGTTATTTATCCCTCTTTAATGCAACTTCAAAGAGGGGTCACGGATTCAGAAGATAAGAAACAGAAAGCTGCGTGCCTTGAGAGATACAGAAGAAGAGACGAAGAAGAATACAGGCAATGCACAGAATTAGATATCGAAAGGGAAGAAGAATGTGGGATTTGCATGGAGACGAACAGTAAGATTGTCCTGCCAAACTGTAATCATGCCATGTGCCTGAAATGCTATCGAGAATGGTAATATATCTCTACTCTCTTTTTTTAATCTGTAGTTAAAATAGCAAATCTATATTTTACTTTCCATGTGTGTGTGTGTGTGTATATTAGATTTTTAATTCATTAATGGTCTCTATGAGCGTAATATATGATTTGGCTTAGTACACGTGATTAACAGGGAAGGAAACACTTAAGACCTTTCCCTCTCTCTTGGTACCTACGGCGAAACTGTATCAAATTGCAGTGTGAACATGAATAACATCTCTTCTCATGCTCTTATACCTCATTGCCGTTGTCTTTTTGTACTATTATCTACATCTGTATTCCCTTTTATTCATCTATCACTGCTATGCTGGTAAAATGACTGTTTACTTAGAACTCAGGGAAAATAAGAAAGGAAGAAATTTAAGTTTGATAATTATTTCATGGATATCACTTGCTTATATTTTCTTTGGAAGATTGACATGGCATTATTTACTTAAGGAGTCCGCTAGCCAAGATCATATATTGTAGAGAACTAGTGCCAAGGATCACATAAGTACCATATTTTGACTAACTAGTCAAATTGAACTTGTGCATATTTTATAGATAATATTGGACTTCGTATTATGGTTGGTGTCAACTTTCTCCTTACAGTGTATCGCATCAGAAAACTTCTAAGCCTAAGAAGCATTGGACACGGACACTGTGACATTGGCATGCCAACACGTGATTTTTTAAGAAAGTAGAACACGTAGACACATCAATTTAAATTGTTTAAAATTCTACATTTATATAATGTATTCTATTTTTATACCTTTTACTTTCTAGTAAAATCGACACTTTTTTAGTTTTTATTTTTATTGGTGAAATCCTTTTAATAAGACTAGACGTTTATTATATTTAAGGAACTTTGAATTAAACTATATATTGCTACTGTGAAAGAAATAAAATGACTACAATAGAGTCCGATAAGTTTTCATCTCTGACATGATGCAGGACGTGTCAGACATGGACACTAACATGCCTCGTGGTAGGGAGTCCTTGCTTCATAGCTCTAAGCTTATTCTCTAGTTTATATGTAATTTAAAAGCTGCTTAAGGATCTTACGAATAGCTAAAGTTTGAACATGTCAATATCCTCCGAGGAGGAGATTCCGACTATATATGTGGGGAATTCTTTTGTAATTTTTTTCTTCTTGTTCAGAGCCCTCTCGACCAAGGACTGGCACCAATTGTACTTTCTATTTTGGGGCCCAAAGCAGTATCTAGACCAACTGTCATAATATCAAATTTGCTTTTCATCTTCGCCAAGTGAGATTTACACCTAGCACTGGAGAGGCAAATGGAATATATGGATGCTTCCTGGAATCCTTCTCATTATGATGTTACTCACCCAATGTCAAGTTAGATTTTATAGAATACAGCTATTTTTTGGCCAATGTGTTGATGATGTAGGTATAATTTCGATTTTCAATCTAAACACATCATGCTTCTTCCCCTGTATGCTTTTAGAGTGGTTCAAAGTCGGGTGTGAGGCCTATTTCTTCAGGTTGTATGTGCGAATTGAAAGTGGAAGAATATAAAATTCACGTGCTCACTGATTTTAGGATCATGCAGATTTGTACTAGGAAGAAATAAATTCAAGATCACTGGTGGTGGAATACTCTCTCTGCAGGGAGTTTACCATTACTTTTGATGGTTGAGGAGGCGGAGGGAAGGAAGGGAGTCTTGTGTTGTGTCTGATGGATGTTGGCATCTGAACAAGCAGGCTAGGGATACATTGCACAATTTCAATGTAGAAAAGTGTTGCTGTTCTATCTTTTTATTTTCAAGGGTGCTTAAAAAGATTCTCAAAGCTCGTGTTATTTTTGTTTCTTTTGTTATTTAATGCACATAGCTAGTCCCCAGCCCAAATAAAGGAAGATAAGGTTTGCTCTAAGTTGATAAACAACACAAGGCTTTGTCACATCTTATTGCAAGAAGATATTGAGATAAAATGTGAATACATTACAATAGATAAGATAAGAAATGAAAATGGATAAATTAAGGGGAGGAAGGTGTCTGTGCCATGTCTTAAAGAAGCTCATGTAGTCATGTCCTAGGAGCAATGCAAGTCAGTGAGCAAGCTAGAAGAGGGAGCGGTAGACTAAAATTAACAAACCTTTTGAAGTGGAAAAGGTTTAAGTTGACTTTGAAATATCGAACAGCGATGAACTGAAAGAAATGGTGAAAAAGGTTTCATATAATCTACCCTGATTTGGGAAAATACAGATTTTTGTGGTGAATGAAAGGATTTTTTTTTATTTTTTTTTCCCGGTGGAGGTGGGGGTGTCTCAATTTTGCTTTTAATTTGTTTTTAACTGTTGTTTTTGAGGGATGGGGTTTCTATGAAAAGAGGACACACTGAGGGAAGTAGAAGGTTGATATACCTGTCAAGGGAAAATGTGAAATTGCAGAAATAGTGTTGAATTCGTCTTCTGTTGCTTGAAAATGGCGCTCTAAACGTATGAGTTTCTTTTATATATGCGCCTCTGCATGTGGATATTGGGACCATAGCACTGCATACCACTTTAGCCTTTTTGTATTTTGGTTTTAAACCTTGATCACATATTCTGCGTGTTTCTTTGAAAGCTTGAGTGCCATTACTATATGTCCTTCCCGGTTTCTGTCTCCTTGTTTGGCTAAGCTTAAGCTTAAAAAGTTCCCTTTCAAGTAATTAAGTAGATTTTAAAATAAACAATTTTTTATTGGTCAAATTTGGAAATACATTATTATTTTGAAAGTATTTCCAAATTTTAGTACAGTAGAACAATACATTACTTTCTGATCTCCCTGCTAGGTTGGATGAGGCAACATTTTGCCTAAGGTCGTATTATCAATTTATCCATGTTTTAGCCCACGTGTAGGGATGCTCACACGATCTGATGGAGAGACCAACTTTATCCTTGGCATTGTGTAATGGACCATTGTGTATTTATTCTCCTGAGGTGAAATTTAAATTGAATAGTAATGCGATTGATATGTTTGGTGCAGGCGTACGAGATCACAATCGTGTCCGTTTTGCCGGGATAGCTTAAAGAGGGTGAACTCTGGTGACTTATGGGTATTTATGGACGGCAAAGATGTGATAGATATGGCGACTATCACGATGGAAAATCTGAGGCGGCTGTTCATGTATATAGAAAAATTGCCCCTTGTTGTTCCCGATACCCTTTTTGATACTTATGATACCCATCTGAGGTAATTAACTAGTATCGTCTAGGCAATGATCTTCGGGTGGCTATTAGTTAACACTGTAGATTGCACGTGGAAGCAAGAAATAATCTGTAGAGACCTAGATTTAGAAACTCAAACGATGATGTTTGGCTTATGATTAGAAACCGCCTGGCTTTATTGTGGGGCAGGGTTTGAAGCTATTTTATGGAAAATGAAACCAGGTTGGATGGTGTGTGTAGAAAATGTGTACATGCTTGTATAGTTTCTGTATGGATTGATGCTATCCTAGACAATTTATATTTTGACAATTAATCGAAACAAAACTCGTGTTTCATATTTCTAGTGACATTAGGAGCTCTTTGACAATTAATGCTTACTTCCTAGATTTAAATCGATTATTGGTGTCCATATAATTTTAGAACAAAATGACATTTGTGTCTAGATCATTTTATTTGTAGTTTCTGTTCAAAGGAAACTTTAAACATATAATTATGAAGTATTGAGCCTGGAATGGATAAAAGTTTAACACGATTGAACCGAAGAATAAATAAAGTTGAAGTGATTGAACCGAAGGATAAACATGTTATAAATTGTCTGTGCTTGATCGATGCTCAAAGTCGATGGCATGAAAAGCCCAAAAAATATAAAGTCTAACCCAAAATGCACCATACGTATCGAATCACTTTATACGGTTATTTAAATGGGCCGTGTGTCCATGGGTGATAATTGAAGTGTAAACTTTTTGAGAAGAAGAATGAAATTAAGCGCTTGTTTGGTAGGGATCTTTGGGGGAAGAATTGATTTTTGAATAGTGATATGATGGGAAATGTGTTATTGAAAAAGAAGAAAAAATTATTGATGTGATGAAAAATATTATTTTATTGAAGAATGTATGGTTGAAAATGAGAATTGATTTACTGTAGAATTTAAGAATAAAAAACAAACAGGCCCTAAGTCAAAGGTGAACGTTTATATGCGAAAAAATTTGATCACTTCGACAATTTTTTTTATTAGCCATAGAACTTGGGTAACATGGCAAAAATTAACGTTCAAATATGCTACGTGTGAATATCTACTATTCATGCGTCCATTCATTTTTAACATTGAGGGCAGAGTGACAAATACTGTAGTGATGTTAATGGGCGGGAGCAGTTGGGGAGCATGAGCCATGTTGTTTACAAAAAGTTGGTCGGCTGCTCATCTCTCCAACTCGCCGGTTGGTGGGGGCAATCCGAACTCTAGATCACGAGCCACTCGCCGGCTAGATTATTTATTTTATTTTTCAATTAATGACGATTATTTATTATTTTTTCCAAATGTGATGTAGTCAAAAATTTGTAAATGGATTAACTGAAAAATTCATTTTTGTAAAAAATGTTTGATAAAATGAGCCCACGTTTGATTTAGATACAAATCAGATTTTAGTAAATTTTGATAAAAGTCAATTGAATGTGTAGTTGAAAAGTTGTAAAACACGTAAAATGTGGTTAAAATTAATTGTTGATTTTAACTTAAATTTGTATTATTTTTTTGTAAAATTGTAAAAATCCTTCCCACTCTATTCGGACATTATAGACAAATAAAATAAATAAAATCTACTTTACGTGTTATGTATGCGATTGCGGTGTATAAACGCTTATGAAAGGATAATAAGGACATAGACGTGATTATATTCTGCTTCCATTATTGCCCAATTAACTTGATAAATACGGATCCATAATACAACAATGTTATATAGTGGAACCATTATGCGTTCTACCACTTAAGTAAATTAAAGAACTCGACCCTGACCAGTGTTTCATCCGATATTGGTACTCCAAACATATGATTATCGTTTTCATTCTTGACAGAGATGTCCCAAGACGAATCCTCACTTATTTTTGACTTTAACCAATTAAACTACTTATAATTTACCTTTAAACATCCGTCTTAATAGGTGTCTCATTCATTTATGATTTATCCTATCTCAGTGGGACCCATTTTTTATCCAAATTTTGTTGCACCTTAACACTGCCACACATTGAATTGATCCGTATTTATATTTAGAGTCAAAAGGTTTCATTTTCCATATACATTGAATTTAGGCATGGGCTTCAATTATTTCCATTTTATTTTATGTATTTTTGGATTCAAGAAGTTATGGGCTAGCATTTATCAAGAACCATCCAAAAAGAAGCATTTGCCTTTTTTTTTTCCTTTTCTTTTCGAATTTAATTTTTTTTTTTTTTGTAATATGTTTAAGATTTGATTGTCTCTAAGCCCCCGTTTGGTGCATATTTTTAGAAAAAAAATATATTTTTACTGTTGATGTGACGGAAAATATGTAGTTGAAAAAGAAGAAAAAATTATTGATATGATGGAAAATATTAATTTATTGAAGAATGCGTGGTTAAAAATTAGTAGAAGAATGTGAATGAAAGAAATAATGTAACTCAAATAGGGCCTAAATATTGAAATATTTATTTTAAGATGAGGTTGGTCAACAATGGCAGAGTCTTTGGTCAACTACCATTAATTTGAAATCAATTAATCATCAAGTACAGGAAAGATTTTGCAGGGTGTGAGCCTTCTGGTAAGCCCCACCATGTATTAAAAAAAATCGTGAAGGACCCACACATGTGTGCGTGTCCTGCGAAATCTTTTGCGTACGTGAAGCATCTTTCATTTGAAATTACACAAATGTGGATGGTCCTCATAACGACCTTTACCTTAATGACTTGGCTTAAAAGTTGTGAAAATGATATAAAAATTTGATCAAATAGAAAATAAAAAATTCAATTTGATTTCAATTTTTTTCAAAATACATATTTCTTTATCTTCTTTTCAACCACACATTATTCAATAAAATAATATTACACGCAATCCAAAAAAAATCTTTATTTTTAATTACACATTATTCATCAATCTACTATTTCAAAATGTCTTCTACCTGAAAAATGGGGCTCAAACTGAAAATAATAGTAAACTCTGGGCATTCCTTTCTTGAGATAAAGGAAAGAATCTGATGCATAATAAATTAATGAAGTAGGACCAAAAATGTTATAATCGAAGCCTTTGATTTGAATGAAAAAAAAAAACAAAGGAATAAAAGACATTAATTTTTAAGTGTCACTAACAAGATTATTTAACGTAGTTTTTAGACAAAAAGCATGTGTAGGTCTGCCTTTGAAGCTTTTATACAACGACTAGTAGTAGGAGAAGAATCTACTTTACAGCAATATTAATTTATTAATAATAATAAAGAAATTAAATAAAATTGTCTTCGAAGATTGACGATTATAAATCGACGTCTAAGTCAAATATTGAACGTGTGTCTTTAATTTGAAAAATAAAAAAAATTCAATTAGCTTGCACGACACGGCACTCATAAATCGAGAAATTCCAGCAGTAGAATAGTGATGAATTCCTAACTCAAATAGTAGTGTGAATGTGTGATATGTTGACTTGGAGAAGGATGGATTGCTCATCTCATCTTGTAATAAAAAAGCTGCTTTGATTTGAATTAATTAAAAAGGATAAAGTTTCACTTTTCAGCTTTGAATGAATTTCCATAAAAGAAGGGAACCACCCCTTTTTCATTGGGCAAAAAATGGTCGGTCACCTTGTCCCCACCCGAAAGGTTTGGGCCTCGGGATCCTGCAAATTTATTATTATTTTGCTTTTAATTATTAAATGTTGATGGGCACTGATGATTTGCTTTTCTTAAAAAATGGAGAGAAGAATTTTTATTTTATATATATATATATAATTTCAACTCATTAAATCCCTGCTTGATTTTGATTAAAATTCAATTGAAATTTCAAGTCAAAGTCGATAATTAATTTTAACAACACATTTTATAAAATTCACAACTTTTTAACCACACATTTCATCAATTTTTTAATCAAGATTTACTAAAAAACTAATTTTAATCTCTACCAAACAAGAACAATGACTGTTCAAATTTCTTGAAATATAAAGGGCTATTCGCTTCTCTCTAATTCACGTATCTGGTCAAATATATAGTTTACGTGTGTTCAACGTATTTTTATAGTACCGTTTAAAGATTAAATCGTGCTATTCACTAATTTTAAATTATTAAATAAAGAAAAATAATTTATTATTTTATAGCTTCAACAATAATAAAAGTTGTCTGAACGGTATATCATATTATGTACTATCATAAAGAAAAATGATTTTGAGTGTGTTTGTGATACATTCTTTTAAAATAATGTATTATTTTTTTTTTTTTGATATCCAGGTATCCTAACTTACACTAGACTATGTTCTAGACAACCCATCCCCGGCCCCTCAGTGATGGGTGAAGGTTAATCGCGGGATATGCCCAAATTGCCTAGGGTCTGTG